TGGATTTTTCAAAGCTAAAGAATATATTTCCATGTCTGAGTTCAGGCGTGGATATTTTAAAGAGTATTTTTCCAATGCTGAGTAAGGCATGGATTTTGTAAATCATATTTTTTCAAGGCTTAGTAGTGGCTTTGATTTTTTAAAGATTTTTTTTTTGAAGGCTCAGTACAGGCTTGGATTTTTTATAGAATATTGTTTCAAGGCTTAGTAGAGGCGTGGATTTTTTAAAGAATATTTTTTCAAGTCTTAGTGGAGACTTGTAGTTTTATACCCTTCCCCACACTGTGATACAGGGTAGTTTGTCTTTGTGTATATGTTTGTAACAGGCAAAAGGAAACGAGATAGACACATGGTTCCTTTTGAGAATATGCATAGAATCACTTTCTGAGTTGATTTATGCATGTCCGTCCGTCTGTTGGTGTTAAATTGTAAACAAAGTACAGGTCGCATTTATAATCCGATTTGAATGAAATTTAGCACAGCTCATTTGTTTGACACACGGCTTAGATATAGATATAGCTCCCATATATATTTTCGTCCGATTTCATGTAAATGGTGCACCAAAGCCCCTATATACCATTTGATTTGCACGAAATTTGGCATAGCGTACTGAATTAAGCCTGTAGTGATGTGTGCTAAGCTTCGTGAAAATCAGTCCAGATTTAGATATAGCTCCCATGTATATTTTCGTCCGATTAAAGATAAATGGTGTACCAAAGCCCCTATATATAATTCGATTTGCACGAAATTTGGCAGAGCGTACTGAATTAAGCCTAGAATGGTGTGTGCGAGTTTCGTGAAAATCGATTCAGATTTAGATAAGCTCCTATATATAGTTTCGTCCGATATAATGTAAATGGTGCACCAAAGTCCCTATATAGCTTTCGATTTGCACAACATTTGACATAGCGTACGGAATTGAGCCTAGAATGATATGTGTTTAGTTTCCTGAAAATCGGTTCCGATTTTTGAAGAATATTTTTCAAGGCTTAGTACAGGCGTGGATTTTTTGAAGAATATTTTGCTAGGAGCACTACAAGGCGTGGATTTTTAAAGAATATTTTTCTAGGACTCTTCAGGGATTTCAATGAGGCGTGGATTTTTAAAGAATATTTTTCTAGGGCCATTACAAGGCGTGGATTTTTAAAGAATATTTTTCTAGGGCCATTACAAGGCGTGGATTTTTAAAGAATTTTTTTCTAGGGCCATTACAAGGCGTGGATTTTTAAAGAATATTTTTTTTTTAGGATCGATACACTTTCCCTTTAAATATACCTCTACTATTTGTACGAACAGAACAACCCCTCATTGTCAAAATTTTTGTGAAAACAAAGAAAAAATAAAAATGTTTTCCATAAATTATCTGTTGGTTTTGACAATATCACTTTTAAATTTTCCCAAAATTCTTGGTTCCAATCGGAATAATCTACGTCAAAGTTGCAATCCTCTCCGGGACCAAAAATTATCGTTTGTCTGCACAGCAAAGTATCCATCCATTATTTTAATAAGATACAGAGATGACATGGTTAAAGCGGACACACAATATGCTGTATTTAAAATCGATGGTCAGGAGAATGCGTTTCTAATAACTCATGGTTATAGCAATGTCTTTGCATGCCAATCGTTGTCAATGCTCAATGCCAGACAGATATTTTGCAAGGATAATGAGATTATCCTTAGCAAAGCCATAATGCATTGTCTACCATATCACACCGATATTGCCGATGAATTGATTGATCATTGCGTGGGCTACAAGGGTCCACAAACCAATACACAATTTGTGGCCATGCATTATGCCAATCCTGATGTTCAGAGCCAATCAAGTGGCAGTGAAAGGATTTCAATTAATGGACACATGCCGATGGCATACCTTTTGGCATTTTTGGCAATTTTCAAGAATTCAAACAAAAAGTTCTTTGGTGTGGTAGAGAGGGCAAGGAAGCAAATCAATAAGGTGAGGGGAATATTAAATGGAAAAGAAACTAAAACTTGTGATTTTTAATGAATGGATGTCATTTCAAGAAAAAATGATTTATTTTCTCCATCTTTCCTTGAAGTAAAGCTGTGTGTGTGCGTCCCAAACAACCCCTTTTTTCCATTGCCCATTCTTCGTCATCGCCTCGTGATTTGTAATTCAATTATTGCTGCCAGCAGGCAATCACAACTTTCTATTTGACTTTTTCCGTGCGACTCTGCATTTGTGTGTGAGTGTGCCAGTGTGAAAAAGGCACCGACTCAAATATTCCAAATAATTTATGCTCCATTGATCCAATCAAGAAAATATCCTAATAAATGTTACTCTGGTTAGGGTAATCAAGAATTCCACTTGTTGATGTTGTTCGTTAATGTTTGATTGTCCTTTGACAGGCAAGGCCACCTCTTTATGGATGCCATACTGAGCGTTGTACGACATAACAGCAGGAACTTTTTATGCCATTTGGTTTCGTTTTGTCACTGAATTGTAATTACATCCATTTAAATTGAGAGGGGGAAAACAAATTGTTTTCATAATTTCTTCTAAAGATTGAATGGGTACTGGATTGTTTGTTTAAAATGTTCTAAGAATTTGATTTTATTTACAACAAATTGTGATTATATAAATTATACAATAATAGTCCTACCTACAGAAATAGTCCCAATGGAAATTTTATCAAAAATCCATGCCTTATTCTCTAGAAATTCTTAATAAAAAATCCACGCCTTCTTCTCAAAGACTCCTTGAAAAATTTTCATTAAAAATCCACGCCTTCTTCTCAAAGACTCCTTGAAAAATTTTCATTAAAAATCCACGCCTTCTTCTCAAAGACTCCTTGAAAAATTTTCATTAAAAATCCACGCCCTTCTCAAAGACTCCTTGAAAAATTTTCATTAAAAATCCACGCCTTCTTCTCAAAGACTCCTTGAAAAATTTTCATTAAAAATCCACGCCTTCTTCTCAAAGACTCCTTGAAAAATTTTCATTAAAAATCCACGCCTTCTTCTCAAAGACTCCTTGAAAAATTTTCATTAAAAATCCACGCCTTCTTCTCAAAGACTCCTTGAAAAATTTTTATTAAAAATCCACGCCTTCTTCTCAAAGACTCCTTGAAAAATTTTCATTAAAAATCCACGCCTTCTTCTCAAAGACTCCTTGAAAAATATTCATTAAAAATCCACGCCTTCTTCTCCAAGGGTCCTTGAAAAATATTCATTAAAAATCCACGCCTTCTTCTCAAAGACTCCTTGAAAAATTTTCATTAAAAATCCACGCCTTCTTCTCAAAGACTCCTTGAAAAATTTTCATTAAAAATCCACGCCTTCTTCTCAAAGACTCCTTGAAAAATTTTCATTAAAAATCCACGCCTTCTTCTCAAAGACTCTTTGAAAATTTTTCATTAAAAATCCACGCCTTCTTCTCCAAGGGTCCTTGAAAAGTATTCATTAAAAATCCACGCCTTCTTCTCCAAGGGTCCTTGAAAAATATTCATTAAAAATCCACGCCTTCTTCTCCAAGGGTCCTTGAAAAATATTCATTAAAAATCCACGCCTTCTTCTCCAAGAGTCCTTGAAAAAATATTCTTTAATAAATCCACGCCTTGAGATAGTCCTTGAAAAAATATTCTTTAATAAATCCACGCCTTGATGGCCTTTGCAAAACATATTCTTTAATAAATCCACGCCTTGATGGCCTTTGCAAAAAATATTCATTAATAAATCCACGCCCCAGTTGGCCCTTGAAAAATATTCTTTAATAAATCCACGCCTTGATGGCCTTTGGAAAAAATATTCATTAATAAATCCACGCCTCAGTTGGCCCTTGAAAAATATTCTTTAATAAATCCACGCCTCAGTTGGCCCTTGAAAAAGATTCTTTAATAAATCCACGCTTTGTAATGGTCCTTGAAAAATTTAAACTCATTTTTTGTTTGCTTTTTTTATTCAAATACTTTTTCGTATCGTTTTATTTGTCTTTGCATGCTGTTTCTCATTACATAATAATATAACAATGTATAAAATACATAAATTTATTTTTTTATTTGTTTTTTTTTACATTTTCAGATATTTAAAATATTTACAACATTTTATGTTTTGCTATTATATGCTTCGTTATAATGAAGAAGGTAATACGTGAAGAGAAGAGTGGAGAGAGTAAAAATTAAATTCGTTAAACTAAAGAAATATTCATCGTCAACATCGTTATTACCGTTGAGGAGAGTTGGGTGAGTATTAAGTATAATATTAATATTCGTAAGATTATCAGTATCCGATTTCAAGGCAGTGGCAAGATCATAAGTTCGCTACATTAGTAAGAAATGGGGGGAGGGGTCTAGGAAGTCTATAATGTTAGGGGTTTTACAGTATAGATGTGTTGGTGGTAGTAGATACAGTGACAAGATTGCAAGTAATTAATAAAAATAGAGACCATTGTGATAACTTTCAGAAGAGAGAACGAGATGAGAGGGAGACATGGTTGAAATGAAGGTGGTCTAGTTGCAGAGAGTTAGGGAGAGAGAGAAATTGCAAGAATCCTAAGTATAGGTAACATATCAGTGACTAAATTGAGTGATCAGAACAGGAGAATAGTTGCAGAGAGTGCAGAAGTTTTTCTCATGGTAAAAGAGAGAAAGGAGAGAGAGTTTGGAAAAAGTCTCTTGGGCAAGATTATTGAGAATCTTCTCCTCACAAGAGAAATGAGCGTGTGTTTGTCTGGAGTTTTTTGAAAGGAAACTGAAAGAGGGTTATTGAAATCAAGAGACAGTGCAAGTGCGAAGTGAAAATGGAAGAGAACTAGAAAATTGTGTTGTCTTCAAAATAGTGAAAACAAAAATAAACTTAAACTTCCTAAATAGTAAGTGAGAGAGAGTGTGTGAGAGTATTCATATTAGATATTATATCCATTTTCATTCATAGACATCCTTCGTATAAAAAAAATCAGTTCCATGGTCCTTTTTGTTTGTTCGATTAAAAAATCAGTGACATCACGTTAATGGGGTCTTGGTTTCCTATTTGACTTCTTTTCACCCTCTTCTTACCATTTACCATAATAACCATGGCCGACAGAGTTATGGCTTTCGGCAGCCAAGGCATTCAAATGGGCAGCACGGGCATGTTGTACCTCTGCGGGTTCTACCGGCACACCATTGTGAATGACGGGAATGTGCAGGGGACCGTGGTAGGGACCAGATGGTGTGTGGTGGGCAGATGTGGCATAGTGTGAGGGAGCACCACCATGACCTCCCGAAAGATCACCATCCCAACGGCCATCATAGCGACCATCATCACCATGATCGGAGGGACCAGCGGTGGCAGCGGCCTTAGCAACAGCAGCGAAATGGGCAGCCTTGGCATGTTGTACTTCGGGTGTTTCGACGGGCACACCATTGTGGATAACGGGAACGTGATAACCATGGGCAGCAACGGCATGACTAGCAGGTCCGGGCAGACCAGCACGAGCGGCAGCATGGGCAGCAAAGTGAGCAGCCTTGGCGTGGGAAACTTCAGGAGTGTCTAAGGGAGCACCATGACCATGGCCAGCAGCACCCAGGGCTTTGGCATGAGCGGCATAGTGGGCAGCTTTGGCGGCTTGTACATCGGGAGTATCTACGGGAACACCACCATGTGTGAGGACAACGGGAGCAGCAACGTGGGCATAACCGGCATGACCTCCCCACAATGAACGTTTGTACAAATGATGCCCACCATCACCACTGTGGGCAGCAGCAGCGGCGGCCGCAGCATAAGCAGCAGCATGGGCAGCCTTGGCATGGGCAACTTCGGGGGTATCATGGGGTACACCTTCATGAGTCAATGTGATGTGGGCCAAGGGTCCATAATAGGCATGTCCGGCAGCATAGTGACCACCATCATAGGCAGCGGCATGGGCCAAGGCGGGAGCTGGAGCTGGACCCTTGGGCAAATTGGTACCGGTGGCATGGAAACCAGTATGAGGATCAGCGGTATAATGGACCGATTGGACATGACCATGACCATCCACATACGAATACGAACCATGCGTCACGCCATCATGTGAACGTGTTTCGTGTTTTTGCGAATTTGGATCGGCATAACCGTACGAATACGAATGACTGTGGGGATCCAAGCTGGCATATTGTGTTGAAACGGCGCCATGATATGAGGCAGAGCAGGTGGCCACCAGCAGGGCTGTTGCAATGATCTAAAACGAATGACAAAAACTCATCGATATTATTTCAATAATTAAGATAGCAACGTTAACATGTTGATAATGATATGACAGATATTGTGGCTGGCTAGCGAGCAAAGCAAACCACATGCCAAGTCAACCAACCAACGAGCAAGCTAGCTGGCTGGCTGGATAGCTGTGTGGACATAAATTAAAAGTCAATTGCCAAGAAAAAATTAAAATCAAAACAAAAACTCATTACACAAATGCTTAGACATAATGACGGCTTTCAATGGTTTATTAGCATTGCTTAAGAGTGAAAAAAAGAAATCAAGAAAAAAAATTGAAAATATTACCAAAGGAGAGACTAACATGGAATTGAAAATTATTACATGCTGTAACCAAGAAAATATCTATAATTTAGTTATGCTTAACTTTTCATTATTACATAGCTCTTCTCCAAAATCAATATTGGGTCAGTGGTTCACTGTGGGTTTTGTATTGCTTGCCACTGGCCATTAAAACAGATTAAGCAATATCGATTTTTTTCTTTATGCAGCTACCGCTCTTTCATTACTAACCAACAACAGCAAAAAATATTATTTCATATTTTTATTTTTTCTTTCCATTTGTGCAATCTATGTTTTATTACTTTGCATTATAAATGCAATTTATTAACCAATTATTACCTTTTTCTTATATAGCTACCATAAAATAATGTTCACAGAGATTCGTGGGAGTTTTTGTTTTAGTTGCAAACCAAGCAGCTTAAATTACACATATGATTTTTCTATTTCTTTGTTTTGTGATCTGTGGCTTTTTGGAGGCCTTAACATTCTTTTTTTAGATTCTCTTCACACCCAACAAAAATACATTGTATGTACTATGAAGTTCGTCTCGCGAAATCTTTGGTGTGGCTCAAATTTCCTTTTTCTGAGTTTTGAGGTCTGGTTCAAGTTTCCAATTTGTATGTGAAAATGATTTTTGTTTGAAGTCATAAGCCTTGACATATGATGAAACACATACATATGTAGATATCACCCTGTCATGGTCGCTGATGGACAAAGTGAATGATTGGTGTGGTTTGTTGGATTGAGTGAATGGTATAAATTAGGTTTGTGTCTTAAGTCTTTTGATTTGCAATTTACATATTTCATCATATGGAAATAATTGATAGATTTTTTTTAATTGAAATAGTTGGAGGGTATATTTATATGTGATTAGAATATTCTCGAAATAACTGTCTACCATTATCACAAATATTTTCATTTTTTTTTAAACTTTGGCTTTGTTTGTTGCAAATGTTAGCTTCTTAAATATTTAACCAAAAGTTTGTTATATTTTAAAACCGTATTTAAAATACATTTGCTACCCAAAAAGTACTCAAAGTACCAAATTTCAGCGAATTCGGTCGAAAAATGCGATCAAAAGCCCCAAAATACCGAAAATTGGGGGTACTCCTATATGGGGGATATCCGAAAAAATGGACCTTTATTTATAATTGTTGGTAGGGAGATTTCCTACCCAATAAGAACTCAAAGTACCAAATTTGAGCGAATTCAGTCAAAAAAACGCGCTCAAGAACCTCATAATACCGAAAATTTGGGGGTACCCTTATATGGGAGCTATGCCTAAAGGTGGACCGATTTTCTCCAATTTTAATAGGGTTCGTCCTTGGGCCAATTAAGTGACTTGTGCCGAATTTCATCCAAATCGGATCATAAATGCGACCTGTACTTTGTTAACAAAAATACATGGACGGACGGACAGACGGACATGCATTAATCGACTCAGAAAGCGACTCAGTGTGGTGAAGGGTATAAATATATAATCTCTATATTAGTGAATATTTTTTACATTTTTTATATTTTGAAGAGTTTTTAATCGAAATGTGTGTTCGCATTTATTTTTTAGTAAGACCGTTTAAGCGCAGTTTGTGTTTTTTCTAAAAGAATTCTGTAAATTACTTAGAAGGGTAAGAATATCGTCGTATATATTAAAGGCTTTACAAGAAATTTGATCATATGATCAAAAATGATGGAGAATGACTGGGGTCGTTTAGCCTAAAATTGTCTTCCAGTTGTTTGTAATTTCAATGGGATGGTTTTCACGAACATTTTGATCCTAAAAATTCGACATTAAAAATCCTTAAAAATGTCGGAATATTGGAAAAAAAGTTTGTAACGCCGCGAAATATTGGTGCTAGAACCCACCTTTAAGTATAGCGATCGTCATATCTCGACTAGCTGAGTCGATCTAGACTCAGCTAGCTCAGCTATTTAGCGGGTCAAATGGACCCTAACTTTTGTGTGAAAAATTACAAAATTTGTATTCTATAGCGTATATATTTACCACTGAATGACATAGACCCGAGAAGTTGATAGTATATCCAAGAGGAGTGGTTGACCTTTAAATTGATACCAATTATATTATCGTAGGTACTCGGATGCGGAAGTTACACTTAAATATTTACAGGTGCTTACGTATTCATATATTATTTAGTAACCTATTACCACGCTTGAGGGCGGAAATATAGCGCTGATCGCTTTGAAATTTTCCATGAGGTTCCAGTTATGGTCAAGGACAACGCCTAAAATGTTAGGCGATGATCAGATAATAATTTTTCCGATGAAGTTGACCGAAAACTTAATTATTTGTACTTTTCGTGTCGAAAGCCGAAAACCACAACACAACCCACGGTGAAGAAAATCTGGACAACTAATTAGAGGAACTGTACTGATTATTAGTAACATTTACTGACCTTTAGACAGTCAAAAGTGTGCAAATATCGCGAAATATTGCCCAATCTCAGAATATAGAACCACAAAAAGTTAGATGTTCATGGAAGTTGTGTAGGGTATCGCATGGTCGGCCCGTCCGACTATACTGCTCCGCACACTGGTTTAACCCTTTCAGTGTTTTTGTCGAATATATTCGACATTTAAAAATTCTCTCTTTCTTTGCGATTTTTCGGTTATCCTATGTACCGTTAACATTGATGTTTTTGTTTTTGTTGAAAAACAGACAAAACTGTCCGAGGGTTAAAATGAAAATTGTTTTTTTTTTCTAAACTCTGTGCCTTTATATGATTTTAAGTACAAAAGTTTAGACTTTTATTCCGACAAAAAAATTTTATGACACTGAAAGGGTTAATATGGAATTTTGTGTGGGATGGCTTTTATGTAAATTAATTTAAAAATGTGGCAGGAAGCTCGTGGGATCCTCTAGTGTCATATGAAAATTTGTGAATGTATTTGAGATCAATATGTGATTGGATTTTAATGAATATTTTTTCAGATATTCGGAGAGTGGACTAGCGTTAATTCTTTATTTAATGAAGGTCTACTGGGTTAAAAAAATATCCATTTTTTATGATATATTCGAATGTAAGCTAATAATTTTGTATTAAACTGGGCGACACAAAATATTTATGCTAAGTTTTTTAATTCTTATTTTGTAAAGAATATTGCAATTAATGAATTCTTGAGCAGAATAAAATTCTTTATCTAATTAGTTATGGGTATCTACTGTATGTTAAAATCTCGATTGAGTTCGCAATATTTAACGCTACAGCAAAATCCGCATTTTTAAGTTTTTAGCCATATTTGCATCCGATTAGTCTGTAATTTTGTATTTTAGGTTTTTATATATAGGGTAGTTCCCATATGACCGTTCTCCCAGATTACGGTATTTTGAGCACGTTTTTTGAACCAAAAAGACTATAATTGTATATTTTTTTGATAGAAAATCTCCCTACCAGTAATGATTAATATTGGCCCAAGCTTTGGGATAGAAACCATACTCCTATTTTATTCATGATTTTGTGTAATTTTTGTGTAATAATTTGGCAATAATTTTCAACCGAATTGGTTCTAAATTAAAATTTTAGTTTCGGATATTTTAATCAATATTGGTCCAAGATCTGATGTACAACCGAGTTGGCTTTAATTTAATATTTTCAGTTCCCATTGGGTGGAAAATCTTCCTATCGAAAATTAAAAATATCGTTCGATCTATGGGTATAGACCCCATAAAAGTCCAGCCGCTTATAGGCATTTGGATGATCTTAGGTGCATTTTCCGACAGAAGTTACTATATATTAGCAAAATGAAATTTGACAGTTTTGGAGCCTCCTGGAGGGTAAATAACTCCATCCAAGAACATTTTCTCTTTTCAAGACCATGTTTTATATTTAAGAACCTATCAGAAGTTTCCAACTATAGTGCCTATAATTTCGTATTTCGTTTTCTCCTGGTTGCACTTTACCATGATCTAAACAATCACATAATGTTAGTAGGACCCTCCCAACTAAAGCACCTTTTCCCTTGTTACGAATATCATATACACATATATTTCTAAGAATTTTCTTCTTTTTTGGAAAATGTTTGGCATTTTGGAATATTTTTTGAGGGACTATTATTTTTGACGTACATATATTTATACTTTTTCTAGATATTTTCTGTAGAAGAATCTATGTTAGAATTTTTCAGAAAATCTCTTGTAATATTCGGAGATTATTTTAAGAAGTTTTTCGAAGAATAGTAGAACCTTAATTTTTTCTAAATAATTTTTATCGCAACGGGCAATAACTAAAATAAAGTTTACGTAGATCAATATCCGTGGTGCATTTGTATCCATTCATTATCTTTTATTTTGTAATTTTTTTAATAGAATATAAAATCATACAATTTCCATGAATATTTTTGAATGACCACAGAAAATGTAAGCTTCCTAATTTTTGTTTTCCAATAATTTTCTGATTGCTAATAAAAAAAATTGTCCACGAATCTAGGATTTTAAATATTTTACTTTTGAAAATATATCGAAGCAAGAATCATGATTTATATAATAATATTGAGCTCTGAATAATTCTATAATGATTATTTCCAACTCTTTATTTACTGTTTTTTTCCTTTTTTATATATTTTAGTATTTAACTATTACGAAAAATCATTTCGTAATATTTAAAGCTAAATATGAATTCCATAGGATTCTATGTTTTACATTTCTGTTTTCTAATTTTTTTCTCGAAC